CTGAGAAGGAGCTTATGTTTATCTCATAAAATCTTCGGAGATAAATAAAGCTGGGTGGGATGACACAGATCCTGGGATTTCTCTGCTCCTGGCCTGCAGCTTGGTTGCTCTGTAGTGGCTCAGCGTGGTACATCCAACATGTGCTGGTTTCCAGGGCCCCCTGGCATCCTTCACTTTAACTCCAATTGCTCTCAGAAGACTCATCGAGCCCGTCTGTGTGGCGCGGGAGGGAGAGGAAGTGAGTGGAATGAAATGGGCTGCGTGGCCCTCTTCCAACCTGCCGTGGAACTGCCGAGAGACGCCTCGTACTTGGGAGCAGGAACAACCTACAGCTCTTTACCTGGTTTGTGGGTTTGGGGGCAGAGGATCTCTGGGACAGTGCTCAGATCTGTGGATCAAAGGGAACAGGCCCTTTCCTGATGGCTGCCTCCCTTGCTGCTGCTAAAAATAGTTGATGAGCCAGTACGAGGATGGTTGTGGCTGTCTGCATTCCTGGAGGAAAGTGCAGGCTTGATGAGTTCCCAGACTGTGTTTTTGCATCTTCTCCTCTGCTGACAAACAGATCTCAGTGAAATGCTGCTATTTCTGTACCTGTTACAACTGGCTTTGGAGCATCCCATGGCCTTACTCTGATTGTACTGAGCCAGAGAGGGGAGGCAGCCTGGGGGAGACACGGGAGGATCCTGGGCTGCAACCCTAAGGGCCAGGCAGCTCAGGTGATTCTTCAGGCCCAGATTCTTCAGCTACAATCTGTTCCCCATCCTTTCCCTAGCCAGGCATGGAGGCAGCTGTGTTCCCGTCAGGATGCTGCTGCCAGCCTGTGATGAGCCCGTTGCTGCGCTTGTGACTCTCGGTGTGACAGACTGTCGAAGAAATTGGTGACTAAGTACACTTTACAAATACTTCTAGTAACAAAAAGGGCTTGTCTAGACGGGTTTCTAGGTGTAAGCTAATTTAAAGTTCAGGGTATTGGGGATTTCTTGGGAAGTAGGTTGGCTGCAACAGAGAACAGCTTGGACTGGGAATTTTTGCATTGTGTTGTACTGAGTGTCATCTGCATCCCAACAGAATTGTTTTAGTGTCCTAAAATGGTGCAGTCACCAGTCTGAGGTAAAGCTCAGGTTTAAAAGGCAGAGGGTTGTGTTGTCTGCTGTGTTACTTCAGCTCCAGTTCAGCCTTTCCCTTCATTGCTCCTCAAAAAAATAAAAGCATTCAGTTCATTTGGTGTGATTGTCTCAGGCAAGACAAGGCACAGGGTGGTGTGAGGCTTCCAAGATGGAAATGGCTGCAACCTCATGATGCAGGATGTTGTTTCCTTTGCATTGCCAGGGGAGGGTTATTCCCTTCACACAGCTGCTGCCCTGCACATTACCTGCCAAGAGAACAGTGCCAAATTCCCAGCGTGTGTGTTGATGTGGAAGGGAGATGGCTGAAAGTCAGTTTGGGTGAAGGAGCTCCTCAGATGTGAGGGAAATGCCTTGGAGCCCTTTGCTGTAGTGAGGGGAGGAAGCTGACAAGGCTCGGGACTCCTGACTCTGGGATGCTCCTGTAAAGGCACAGTGGCTGTAAGCACACGACTGGAATTCTGGCACCTGAGCTTCCATTTTTTTACTTCATTTTTTTATTGATTAACCATGGTGATAATTCTGTAATGCCAACTTTTCCTCCAAGCTTTTAAAGTCTCTGTATCATTTAGGGCCCGAGTTGCAGCTTTTTGTCCTTTAAAAACCTTTAAAGAATTGTGGCAGAGGGAAGAGAGGGTGTTTGTCCAAACCTGGGCTCTCTCCTTGCAGGCAGGTGCCTCTGGCTCACCCCTATTGATTGACATGCAATACTTGTCCTCTGCCTGTGCACACTGGGCTTGTCCCAGTGAGCCCTGTTTGTTCAGGGAGAGCGTTTGGTGTAACTCACGTGCAGAGGGACCAGAAGGAAGGGAAATAGCTGGAAGAAGAGTTAGTGGAGCATGTAATGTGCTCCAGCAGCTGGCTCCCATTTCCATCTCTGAGAGCTCCCTTTTCCCCACGCACATTCTCTCGTGGGCTCAGCTGATGCAATGCACATCAGCCTAATCCCACTTTCCTGGACCGTGTTTCTGACAGGGAGGTTTGTCTTAGTCCATGAGCAGAGCTCATGTGGTGTAGCCATGATGGCAAAATCAGGGGCTGCTTCTGGGCATCGGGCATTTCCCTCGGGGAACTCAAAGCTGATCTCAGTGGCTGCCCTGGGGGGATTTGCCGATGGCTGGCTTTGAGTCCTGGAGCTGCCAGAGCATGTGGAAAAGGGAATAGGGTTAGAAACAGTCATAGCCAAGATGGAGTGTGAAGCTAAGGAGGTGAAGTTTGGCTTCTGGCTGTTCCACGGGTGTTGGAAGGCAGTTTTGGGAAAGCCCTTTGTCTGGTCAGCTGCTGTCACTGCCCTGGGATGGTGTGAGCAGGAAGCAGCCACGGAATTCCCAGAGTTGCCTGCCAGTGGCTGCTGAGCCTGTGAGCTGGTCGAGGTGTTGCTGTACAACCTTTCCAGGGAAGGCAGCAAGCAGTGTCCTGAGCTTCCCAGCAGTGCTGTTGCTGCTGCTGCTCTGGGCCTCTTACTGACTTAGGAAGCACTAACTGCTGTATTATGCACTTAAAATACCAAACTGCTGATTAAGTGCCAGTCCCCTCTGCCATCTGGAACCAGTTTGGTGGAGTGGGACTGGCTGGGACATCAGTGAACTGTTCTGTTATTTCTACTTCTAGAGACTCCATAGGGCTTCAATGCTTGGTGCCCTGGGTGTGCTCTTGCTGCAGGTATTGCACTTGCTGAGGTGGGAATGGAGAGCTGGAACTGCTGTCAGGGTTTTATGTTGTTGCCTCCCTTAGTAATTGCTTTGGGAACAAATACCTCCAGCTTTGTCCAGATGTATTTCTGTCCTTGGCTTGAGGTTTTTTAAATTGATCTCATTATACAAGAGCTGACTCACTGGTCTGGGATCAATTTTGATAGTTTGAGCTACCGAGTTGCTAAATGCACCGATGGTGCATTTTACCATGAAGAAGAGTGTCTAGTGGCAAGCTGCTCCTTTGAAGGAAAAAGCATTCTGCCTGGGAGTGCTGCTGCTTCCCCGGGCTCTGGAAGAGCTGGAATAACTTCCACCAAATCCCTGAGCTGCCAAGCGCTGCTGGGAGGGAACAGGTACCTCTGCAGGAAGGTGACTTGGTACTCTCTGAGCTACCAACACGTTTGCTTGTGAGGAAGGTGCAGTGGTGATGAGGTGGTGGCTTTGATGCCTCGATGAAAAAGTGACCCTTGTCTTCCTGGCATTGCTGCAGGAAGCTTTTGGGTGAGGGAGCTGAGCTAGCTCAGGAGTTCAGCACTTCCTGAAAGGATCAGCACTCTGAACTGGAGCTGTTCCTCTAAAAAGCAGAGATTACAGGGTCAATTCAGAAAACTCTACATGTGAGAAACAGTAAGAAACGAGGTTTTTCCTCATTCCAACTTTTATTTCATATAAATAATCCCTCTACATCAGATTTGTCAACTTCTCGGTCTTTTCTCTCACCATAAAAGCAGCAGCAGCTAAGCCACAGTTGTCTGAAAAATCACAACCCAGGCACCAACCAAAGTGCATCGAGCAAAGTGTTAATGAGCAGGAAAAAATTACACTTGGAACAGGCACGACCTGCCCAGCCCCATCCCTGGAGCCTGCATCAGACTCAGTCCTTCCTGGGCATCAAGACCTGCAAAGTCACTTGGCTTTGCAGGAGGAAAAGGAGGGAATGGAGGAACAGGGATGGTTTTCCTTTCAGAACAGTCTAGGGCAATAAGGTTTCCTATCTCTCCAGCACAGCGCTGGACCAGGGCAATGGGAGATCCCTGCCTGGCTGTGTCCGAGTACTCTGGAGTGCAACAGCTCCTGAGCTGAGACTCTGTATTCCATGGACCAGGAGGCAAACTGGCTCCTGGGAAATGCTGGTAATGACTCAGGCTGACTGGACTAAGAGTGAGGTCAGAGACCTGATGTACAAAATAATAATAAATTAACAAACTAAACAATTGTAAGCAGGCTTTTGAGGCAGTCAGATAAGGAAAATGAGCGTTTTAACAGTGATGGAGGAGCTCCAGGACCTGGAGCAATTTTACAATCTTCTGTTTCTCTGGTGGGTAATAAATAAACCCATCTGGGCTTTGGTGGGGTGAAGATGTCTCTACTGATAAAACACAAAAGCTGCACGCTCTGTTTCTTGACAATACCTAGTGTGAAGCCAGTAAACTCTCCTGGATTTGGCACGTGGAGGAAATTCCCAGGCTTGTGCTTCATGGTAGGTGCTGTGGGTCTAAGTCACAAACCAAATGTTTATGTGTGCAAATATTAGTTTGTTAAAGCAGCATCGAGTATTTCAGTCCACACGTGCCAGCCTGGTCTCCAGGGCAGTCTGGCAGCCCAGCCAGAGCAGGTCCTGCATGGCATTCCAGGCAGTCTCCACACACTGGGCTCAGGGACTTTACTCTGGTATCAGGTTTTATGGCAGTGCCTCCAAGGCGATGCCCTCTCTGCTGTGTGATTCCCGTGTCAGAAATCCTGCTGTGTTATCCCTTGTGCCTTCTCCTTAACTGGTAGCTATATTCCAGCTAGGTCCCAGCTTGCTGTGACTGGAAATCCAAGCAGCTGGAACTGCTGCACGTTTGTGCTTGTAAATGCTCCTCCAGCTCCTGCATTTGAAAGGTGTCTTTAAGGCCAGCTCAGAAGGTCTGCAGGGCAGCTTCCAGGGGACTCCTGCCCTCTTAATTCAAGCACAAGGCTACAGAAGGCACAACCGGGAAGGTGAAAGCTGATAGGAAGTCTTGGACCTCCAGGTCCAGTCAGGCCTGGGTCCTGCTGGCACTGCTTTGGGCAGTGTGGAGGAGGATCTCGCGTTCTGCTGTCCCCCTCCCTGCCCTGCTGCAGGGGTGCCCAGTTCCCAGTGCCCCTGGGCAGCATTTGCTGAGCTGTGCACACCCCTGCTCAGCCCACGAGCCCCCCTCCTTGGCACACAGCGGTGTCTTGATGTGCTCTCAGCCTCTGGCAGGGGAGAGCTGGAGGCTGTTCAGGGGAGGTGCTGGGGGGATCTGTGCTTGGCACATGGAGCTCTGTGCCCCATGGCCGTGCTCCATCCATCCGTCCGTCCACAGCCCTGCCACTACTGTACACCTCTGCCAACACTTCAACCACATGCAAACCTCTAGTACCAGAGCTCTGAATGCTATTTCTGCACCCACCTATGAACTACACCCTCACAAGCCACCCCTTCCTGCTGCTCCAGGCATTGGCACAGCCCCGACAAGGGCAGGTCCCTCCAGCCTCCAGGGCAGAAAACGGGGGGCGTGCCCCAAAACCCAAACCTTAACTCTACACAGAATTAGTCATTAAATAAAATAAAGTGCATCCAATAGACATTTCCTTGGCTTGCCACACAGCTGCAATATAGGGCAAACAAATAAAGAGATAAGTGATGGTGTTTTGCTGTAGGGTGCGAGTGTGGGCACCCTTCCCTGTCCTCTGGCACACGGAGAGGGAAGGGGGATGCCAGAACTGTGAGTGGGGTGGTGCTGGGCACAGGGCAGGTGCTGAAAGCTGATTTCATAGAAGGTAAAAGAGCGAGGACAAGCTTGTGCTCCTCTTCTCTTCTCCTCCACCGCCTCCAGCACGTTATCCTGCGAAAGGAGAGCAGAGACAGCAGCGGGATTATCAGTCTCCAGGGAACTGCTGAGGTGTAAATTAAAATGTCTGCTGAGTTCCAATCTGCCCTTCCTGCACGGCTGGGGCTGCCTGGGAGGCACCACTGGGGCATAACCCAGATACCTGCTGCCAAATCCAACAGGAGCAGCGGGGGCTCCGCAGCCCAGGGGATGAGCTGACGGTACCAGTCGGGATGGAAAAACCCCAGTCCTCCTCTGGGACAGGTAAGACTCCTTTATTCTTTCCTTACGTCTCGGGAACCACAATCTTGACGTGTTTCTGTGTGTGCTGGAGCAAAAGGAGGGGCTGGTTTCCGTGTGAACCTGGCCTGGGGGTGCAACTCTTGTGTGCCCCAAGGGCAGAGGGGAAATCAGCTTTCCCTAGTGAAAAACTATCCCATGTCTGGAGCCTGCTGTCCTGGAGCTGCCTCCAGCCCCAGACACGCTGATTTTAATTGGGAAAGGCAGATTTTTTATTCTTCTCTGGCTACCAGATGCTTGGGTGCTGCTCAGAACTGCTGAGCTGGCATTTTCCTGCCTCCATGTTTAAATCCACAGCTCTGCCTTTTGCTGATGCAGATTTCAGCACCCAAAGCTCCCGAGAAAGGTCAGGGAGGGGATATAAAAAGAAAAACAGATGAAACCTTGTGAAGGCAGGAGAGGCCATAGGAAGCTTGGCTTGCATAAAAAACAAACTCTCAAGGAATCATCTAAGGACACAGCCACGGATATTTAATAAGGAACTGCTCTGCAGCCATAGTACCCAAGGTATTGACACAGCCAATGCCATATGCAGCTGAGAGGAGATGGCTGCTGGAGACATTATTCCAAGAGCAGCGCCGTTTCCAGTGCTGGAATGGCAGCAGCTCATCTGGCAGAGCCCTGAGTTGTGTTTAGGTTGTTAAGCTTTGGTAAGTGGCCCTCAGGAGGTCCCTGCTCCAGCCATGGTGTGCTTCCAAGTCATCTGTCCCTGACAGGTGGCCACCTTTTCCAGATTTTCCCGTATTTATTCCTGTGTTTCTCCAATACAATGGTCTCTGCCCCAGCATTGTGTTGTGGCTTGGATGTTTGTCCCCCTTTGCTGGTGTTCGCTGCCCCTGTATTTACCGAGATCACCACTCCACTGCTTTCTGCCTTCATTCTCCTAGACTAAACAAAATTCCCTCACCAGCCCTGCAGTCCTTCCCTGTGTGTCCTGAGTCTCTTGAACCATTCTCACAGAATCCCTGTGTTTTCCAGTGTTACCAGTATTTTCCCACGTCACATCACAGGAGAGGTTTCCGTCACTCCGGAGGTACAGAGACAATCCCACTCCCTGGCTCTCTGCTGTGGTGGCACTCAAGAGGTGCTCTGGGAATTTGAACTGCCCATGGAATGACAGTGGGCTCCAGAGGGTGCTGTGGGCTGCAGGAAGGACCAGGGAGACTGGTGCTATTCCAGGCAAACCCATGACCCTGCCAATCCCAGGCCAGCTCCCAGGATGTGCCAGCAGATAGGATTTCCTGTCTCCTGAACCTCGAGGAAGCCGGTTGTGCTTCCGCAACTCCCTGGCTGTTGTGGGAAGTGCTGGGCTGTGCTTGTGCTGCTTCCTGCACCAACCCTGGGCGCTGCTCTGCATCAGAGCCGACCTGTGCCGACCCCTCCGTCCCCAGCACACAGGCCCTGCCGGCCCCACTCCTGTTTACGTCAGCCAGAGCGCCAAGGTCACATCCCTGGAGCTGCTCTGCAAATCCACCCCCAGCTGCATTTGCTCTAAAGATGTTAAGATTAATTTTCTCAAGAGAATTCAGGGAAAAGCTTCTGTGGTTTTTGTGTATCGTTTACTTCTCTGGGACTTGTTGGACATTCTCCAGGGATTCCAGTCCTGCACTTCGGGTAAATATTTATTCCTTGTTATTTGAAGCGACGGATGAAAGCCCCACCACACTCCCTGCACAGCATCTCCCACTGGTTTGAAGGTGCTGGAGATTTTTAGTGCCATAAATAGACACTGGGAGGGGGAGCTGTGAACCCCACGTGGTGGCTCCACGGAGCTGCTGCTGTGCAGGAGGGGATGTGGGATCTGCATTCAGTGTGAGTGGGACACGGCCCCACAGAGCCCTGGAGCAGGGCAGGGACAGCACATCCTTATCACTGATACGTGTTTCCAGCTGTTCCAGATGCTGCCCTGCTTTGGGACGTGTGAGGTCATGAACAGAGGGCATGGCCCTGGCAGCAGGTGAAGTGACCCAGTCCAGGATTTTCTACTGGATGGAAATTCCTCAAGATAAACTTTGGAACAGCATGCTATTTTTACATCCCTCTGGGGCTGATAGGGTGTATTTTGCAGTATCACACCATCTCTTTCAACACTGATTTTCCAAAAACTGCACTGTATCAAAACTGGATCACCATTATTTAAAAACATAACACTAAAATTTTGTCTGAAAAGGTTTAACGAGGGCTCCAGCTTGGGTTTTACGAGATCTGAGATGTTGAAAAGACACGTTACTGGGACATATGTGGCATTTTTCAGAGAAATAAAAGCAAATCCCACTGGGAATTCACTTGCTACCTCCTGGCAGGGAATTATTAACCAGTCCTGCTAACCCACTGCTGAGAGGGGGGACAGGACACAGACCCTGCTGCACGGGCTCACCTGGCTCTCCCTCAGGGGAAAGGTGTCCCGGTCCATAGCAGGGGGTTGGAACCAGATGGGCTTGGCTGGGAATTACTGATTGCTCTAAGCACTAGAAGGAGTGGGGGCATGGTTAGGCGAGGGGAATGAGCCTGGCAGCAGGAAGGAGGGAGAGGGAAGGCAGGATGACATGGACATGTTAACCCCTCCATCTCCCCTGGCATTCCAACCCTCGGTGTTTCCCAAGCACTGGGTATCAATCCCGGGCTCCAGCCCCAGCTCAGCCCAGCAGGTACCCAAGTGCTGAAGTGGAAACACCACGTTAAGGCACCTCCTCTTGTCCAGGCCAGTCGGCTGTGTTTGTAATTAAGCTTGCTGTAATTAGTCCAGGGAGGAGTGATGGAGTGGAGAGCCACACTGAAGTGGACTCAGGGCCCTATTACCAAACCACAGGAATCTCCATCACTGAGATGAAAATGGACCTCTGTAATTTAGTGTTTCCTCTTAGCTGGTGTCTAATTAAAGTTATCCTGAGCGTGCAAGGTTGTCATTCATCCCTTTATCCTCTAATCTGGGGGGAGTTTTGGTGGGTTGGAGAGGCATGGCTGGACAGTAATCTCCCACTATGTGCATCCAGGTGTTTCAAAACATTTTCCTAAATGCTGCTGGAATTAATTTCCCTCCCTGGAAGGAATTTTCGTTGGAGCACAGAACCAGCTCCTGCTGGTTCTTGGTGCTTTGTCTTTTTGAAATCGCTGTGACTCTTGTGCTTCTCCCTGCCTTTTGTATGGATGGGATTATAGGGAAAGTCTTTGTTAGCAGCTTAGCACTTCATCCCTAAGCTCATTTGTACTCTGGGATGAATGCTGAGCAGCACTGGGGGACACACTGCTGGGCTGGGGTCTGCAGGAAAGCTCATGGAATCTGGGAAAGGCACTTTGGAGGGGTCTGCCTGCCTGGCTCTGAGCAGCCAAATGCCTCAAGTGCCTCCTCATGGAACAGAGCTGCTGCCTCTGTAAAGGAAAGAGCAAGGGGTATCCTGACAGCAACTCAGGTGTGAGGGAACCTGGCCTGTGTTCTGGAAATGCTCATCTCTGCTTTGTGTGCTATCCTGATCTGGCGGCATTGCCCAGAAAAACCACACCTTGCAGCAAAGAGCCCCTACACTGTCCCCTTGCCCTTTGCTCCTAACTCCTACCTTACCTTTGTGCCTGCCATCCTTTGTTCCTTCTCCTGGCTTTTCTTGCTTTCCATTTGCCCTTATGGAAGACAGTTCTTTGTGTAAAACCTGGAGCACTGCTCCATAGCCAGCTCTTTTCTCCCTCCTTTGTTTGGTTCATGACCCATCTCACCCTGTGTATTTGTACACTGCCCTGCACCAGTGTTACCACCCATCACTCACAGTGTAGCCCTCACACACCCCGTACTGGATAGACAATCACCCTGCAGCCAATCTTCTCCAAACCTCTGCCCACGGGGTGGGCCCTGAGTGGCTTTGAAAGTGTTTGGGGCAGGTACCATGCTGACCTCAATTTGTGATCCCCCCAGAGACAAGTAATCCCCTTGAGGTTATCCCTCCCATCCTTTCTGAGGTTTTCCCTTCCCAGGAATAGTCTCAGTTTGTGCCCTAACGTGTGTCAGCAGCCCAGTTTTCCATCTGAATTTTCCTGTCTAACTTTCTACTCCTTCCCCGTCCACTCCAGGACAGGCCTTTGGGATTCACAGATTTAATCCCTGAGGGATCCCTAGCCCTGCTAATGAACATTTCCAGACAGTATTCTGCTCTGATGCCATTATACCACAGCAAGTGGAGTTGTAACCCTGTCCTATGGCTGAGAGCAGTAATGGGACAGCAGACACTCCATGGGGAGGGGTCAGGAACTCACCTTCTGTCTCCGGCAAGCCGGTGCAACCTGTGCTAGTTGAGGGCATCCCCAGTGCCCTTGTCCTTGCAGTCCTCAGGCTGGTCCCCTTCCCTGGACTGGGCCTTTGCTGTGTCCTGCTCAGGCACAACAGTCTTGTCAGAGCTGGCTTTCCCTGGAGGCAAAGGCTCCTGGTGTTCATTGCTTTCAGCATCTTCTCCTCCTTTCAGTGCAAGTGCCTGCCCCTCCAGGGCAGTGCTTTGGGTCACTTCCTCCTCTCCTCTGTTCACCAGCTGTCCTTGATCTGCATCCAGTCTGTCTCCTGCTGCTGTGTCCAGCTGTTCTCCGTGGCAGTTTGAGGAGTCCTGGGAGGACTCCTGTTGTGAAACTGGGTTTTTCTCTGATCCAGCTCCATCTACATTTGCTCCCACGGGCAGGGACAAAGTCTCCTCACTGGTGGCTGGCACAGTGCTTGGGAGGCTGCTTGGAGAAGCAGTGCTGCCAGTGCTCTCCTTCTTCTGGGAGGTGTCAGCAGTGCCAGGCTTCCCATTGGCATCTTCCCCAACACTTTCCTTGCTTGGCTTGGGCCCTGGCTCTGAGTCCCCTGTGCTGGTCACAGACACCTCTGTGCTGCAGCCCTTCACCCCCCTCCGCTCCTCCTTCTGCCCGTTGTGGGCAGGATGGACCTTCCCGCCTTCTCTTCGGAGCTGCTGGGCCGAGGAGGCCCCGTGATCCTGGAGGCTTGGCTGCTTCCCCTTCTCCTCCTGCTCAGCTGTGCAGTTCTCCTCCACCCCCTCCTCTCCTCTGCTCTTCCGCTTGTCCACACCGAGGCTCCTCTGAGAAACAAAGGAGACACTTAGTTCAGATTTTTAAAATACCAGTAGATGGTATTTCTGGTCGCTGAGGGTTCTCAAAACTTGGAGAAAAATTTGGAAAGGCCATTAAAAAGTGTAAGGGATGTAGGTGAAGTGTTCAGGGGCCAGAATAGGTGGGGTGGTTGTGCCGACAGAGGGGCAGTGCAAGCAGTGAAGTTGCTGTCACACCATACCATGTGGAGAGTGCTAACGAGGGGTACACTGATCCCAGAACAGAGGTCCCAGCTCACAGTGGCTCAGAGAATCCAATTTCCTAGTAGTGCACGTGTTGAGGAAACTCAGCAGCCAGCCTGGAACTCCTGAGCTCACCTGGCCATCAAGGTCATCCTTCAGAAAAGACATGTCCTCGCCTTCTTTTGCATCCCACCTGTCAAGAAAAAATTAAATCAGAATTGAGGCCCTCAAGTTCTCATATGGCAAAGCCACTGTCCCTGCCTGACACCCGGTAGGGATTCCTACCAGGGCCATGCATTCCTTGGCTGAGCCCCTTGTCCAGGCCCATCCACAGACACTCATCTGAGGCCACTAAATCTTAATGAACTGGTTGTTCTCATTCTAACTCTAATGAAAACATAAACTCCAATTGCCAGAGCAGACAGGTGAGTTGGACTAAGAAGATACAGTTTGCTTGTGCTGGTGCTTGCCACAATCTGGTCCTGTTTGCCTGACAGTGCCCAAGTGTCCCAAATCTCAGAGGGAGATGCTGAAGGATAAAATTGCTTTGAAGTTCCCAGCATCACTGGCAGATGCTTAGGGAAGGGTTTGGAAAGAGGGAAAATGCGCTGAACTGCCTCCCGTTCCCTCCCCAGCTTCCAAGAACACACAGCTCTGGGATTTCCTGAGCCTGAGATGGTATCTCTGTTGAGTCATGCTGAGCTTAGCAGACAGTCTCTCCCAAGGAATTGTGTGAGTGCATTTTGACCCCATAATAAATTTGCAGCAGTTACAACATCCTGTGCCAAGGAGGGCCACGGCTTCATGAAAGGCTGCACGAGGAACTGCTTTCCTTGGCTCATCTGAATTTGCTGGGTGAATATAAATCTGAACTTGCCCATGCAGTGCTACTGGGCAGGGAGGGGCTGAGGAACCTTCCCTGCTCGTGTGTGTGCCTGCTGAGTTACAGCTCACACACAGATACAATACACACATACATAACACACACATGCCCTGCCCAGCACTGCTGCCAGCTCCTCACCTTCTGGCTCTGCCCGTCAGTCTGTCCTTCCCCTTGGCACGGCTGCTCACGGCAGGCACTGCCTTCAGGCCAGGGTCGCTCACATTCACCCCGTGGTGTCCTCCGCCTGCAAAACATGTTGGAAATGCCAGGTAAAAGCAGGCGCCACCAGCCTGCTGCCTCTGGTCCTCCAGACCCTTGGAGATGTTGGCATCCTTGGATCCCTGGAGAGCCTCTGAAGCTGCGTACATACTGCACATCTGTTTTTTAAAGTAATAAATACAAATTGAGAATTTAGGGTGTTTCTTCTGTGTTTGTTTTTTTATTACTCCAAATTCCAATACTAACTATAAATCTGATTCCTTGGATACAGTCTCCCTTATGCTGTTCTTGGAAGTCTTGTTCTCCCCTGCACACAGATATGAGAGCAGCCACGTGGTATGTCCCCAAAAGCCACTCCAAATCTGTGAGTGCCTGGAGAGAACTCTCTCCATGAGGAGTATCAGAGGTGCTGGCATTTAGTGGGGTGGCACAACAGAATCCTGTGGCTTACTCACCTCTGCCATCGGCAGGAAAGGACCTGTGCTGAAATTTCCTTGCATTTCTTCCCCCTGCAGGGACACAGCAAAGGATGCGCTGAAGTGAGGGAGGGTCTGCAATGGACAGGCAGCAGAAGGGCTGATGTTCAAATAGGGTGTCACAAGGGAAAGCTTGGTTCTGCCAGTCCAGCTCCTGAGCAACAGGAGTCAGCATGGACTCATGCTAGTAAAGAAGCCAGCATGAGCCCCAGGGATCAGAGATGCTGTGCTCTGGAATAGGATTGCCTCTCAAACCAGTGTTTGGGAAAGGAGGCAGGGCTGAGCCTCTGGATGGTGTTGTCCCAGGTTACAGAAGCCATTGCTGTCCCTGGGAAGGTCCAAAGCTCTAGGAAGGTCCAAAGCTCTAGCACCCAGCTCAAATCCCATCCCCTGAGCCCCCTGCCCAGCCCAGGGAGGGCTGAGCCCCAGCTCAGAGGCGTTTGCCCAGGGAAGCAGAGCTTCTCAGCTGACACAGCCCCGGCTGCTGCAGCACTGGGTGCGCAGGACCAGCATTCACTAGTGTCAGGACAGAGTCTATGTGTCCCCTGCCAACCTTTCTTATTGCTGGGATTATCCAAGGCTGGCTCCCCATCCTTAACAAAGTCCTCTTCAAACCTGCAGGTTAAAAACAGGCATTGTCAGACCTGGCCATCCTCCCGCAGTGTGCAAAGTGTGGGCAGGAGCCCTCGGCCCTTCTGCACCTGCCCACGGGCAAACCTGGGCAGGTTTCTCAGCAGGAGCTGAAGCTACTGCACCAGCCAGGAGAAATGAGGCTGTAAGGCAATTCTACCCCAAAGGAGAGCCTCCAAAACCTTTACATCAGTACCCACATGTATATGTTAAGTTCTATGAACTCCCTATAGATGCCTGTAGTGTAGCTGTGCCATGCTCAAATGCAGCTTCCCAAAGCTTCCAAACACAGTCTGAAGTAGCTTTAGGAGTTGTCATCTCAGATCAGACTCATCAGGTTCTTTTCTAGTCCTGCTTATTTTGTGTTATGGCTTTTCTCTCAAAAATGGATATATGACAAAGCAGTTGGGCTCGGGGCTGTCTTGCCAGCAACACTCAGCACCTGCTTGAGACAGTTCACCTCTAATTATTGGGGTCTCAGTGTCTGAAAATTGATGTGTTTGGTCCCATTCCTCAGGCAAAGGATTGTCCCACCTACCTTCCCCGTACAAACTGTTTTATCAGCGACCCTTTGTAACATTCCCTAACTCCACACCCTTCCAGAGCCTTATCCCACTGCAGGTGCCAGGTCATCCTCCAAAGCTCCCTAGGTGGTGTGACCCAGCTGAAACAGCACAGTCAGGGGCACAGTGATTAAGGCAGGGATGTGCCAGTCCCATTCCCAGCTGTCTCCAGCACTGCTCCTGTATCCCGCAGATGATCCTTTGAATGACCCCTCAACCTGCAGTGCCTGAACAGGCTCAGTGTATGAGGATTTAGGGACGTTGGACTCTCCTGTGCTTGAACAGGATAAACAAGCAGGGCAGTGAGAGAACCTGTGGAATGGTATCTGATCCCACATGGTGAGAGGGAGAAAGAGGCAGCAGTGTGGATTTGGTCAGGGAGAGGCACATGACAGCATGGGATGTGCTCAGCAATAAGTATCTGCACCAGATCCCACCACTGGCTTTGACTCTGCAGGCAAACCCTCTCAGTGCAGGGAAGGACCTACATGTGCTCTGACTTCTCCACATCCCACGCCCGCCGCCACTCGCCCTTGGCGTTCTTGTGCCGTGCCAGGCGCTCCAGGTCAATCTGCTCCCTCTCCCTCTTCCAGCGCATGTACTCCGAGCGTTCCCGGCCAGTCATGGGGAAACTCAGGTCTCCAGGGCTCTTCTGCACTGACTTCCCACCATCCTGGGGGAGGGAAAAGAGCTTCTGGTTAATAAAACTGCCTGGAACAGCCACGTTCAGGGTACTTTGTGCTGTCACCACCAGAAATGCTCAGCAGTATTTCAGAACAACCTGGAGCGAGCTCAGCTCCCCTCTCTGCAGTGCTGTGCACACCCAGGGCTCTGCTTCACCCACACCCCAAATCCACCAGTCCTGGGCTTGTTGGCTCTGCAGAGAGGAAAACTAAGGCAGGAAGAAGTTACATGGATTGCCTGGAGCCACACTGTAAATCCACAGCCAAATCACAGGAAACAACCACTCCCTTCCAGGGATATTCATGGAATCCCAGACTGGGTTGGATTGGAAGGGACCTTAAAGTTCATCTTGTTCCATCCCCGTGCCATAGGCAGGGACACCTTCCACTAGACCAGGCTGCCCCATCCAACCTGGCTTTGGACACTTCTGGGGATTATATTCAGCAATACAATGATAATGGCAAAGTATTTCTTTGTTTCCAGTGTTTCAAATGATTAAAACCACTTTCACCTAAAGCCCTGGATTTTGCCATTTGGACACATTCCTGTTACCTTAAAGAGATGGGGTGTCACTGCTGTTCCCCTAACCCAAACCACACTGTTCCCTTGGTTCTTGGAGCACTATCCAGCCTCTAGATCTTGGAAGCAGCTCCCATAAGATGCAATTTTTCATTCTAGATATTCAGCCCCTGATTACAAACTTTTGGAGCCTGCCCTTGTGCAAATGGCCACAGGATGTGTTCACTGCTTTTGTACCTGCAGCCGCTTTACCTGTGGGTGTAAATTAGACAGCAGCCTTCACTGCTCCTATGAAGGTTTTAAACCCAAATGTTCTCAGCTTTTCCTGGAAAAGCCACTTTGCTAAGGCTTACTTACGGCATATAGTCAGTTCTTGGAGTGTTTGCAGTAGGGCTTGAGAGGCTGAACTCACATAGAACATGCACTGGGCTGATGAGTCCCCCCAGCCTGAAGACTTTGGGACACTAAAATCAAAGATATGGCTATGAAATCCTTCACACTGAGAAGGTGGAAAAGGAATCCAACCTTCTGTGACCACCAGGCATCCATGGGAGCCCACAGTCACAGAGCTTGGGCCAACCTTGTGCCCATTCCTGGAGCAAAGGGGCTCTTCCCTTTCACTGCTGTCAGGCTCTTGGTTTGTTACTCCTCCTAACACTGCTCAAAAATTGAAATCTTAATGAAAAGGCAGTTCAGAGCCTACAGAGCATGTGGGGGGAGCTATCCCAGCTGTCAGGTTAATGGATGCGGTGGAAGCAGGAGCCGGCAGGCCGTGGTGTGTTGTCAAGCAACAGTGCGTAGGGAACAGCTCAGTGCAGAGCCAGTCCTGGGGTGCTAATTAGCAGCAGGCAATTCATCCCCTCACACACGTGTCCCTGCAGCCAGCCACCCTCAGCCCTTCCCCAGAGGAGTTCCCTCTCAGCCCCATGAAAGCGGAGCAGCAGGAGGGCGGCACTGAAGGCCCCCGTTACCCGGGTGACCCACCCGCGTGGGCCGGAGCTGGGCTGGCTCCAAGTGCTCCTCCATCCTGAGCTGGCAGGACCTGGGGCACCTGAGCCCACGGCCCCAGGAAGAGAGAGGCGGGGCACAGAAAGGCAGAGCACAGCAGGGCAGAGCCAGGGCAAGCACTGATCCCTGGGCTGGGACACACCTGCAGAGGCTCCCCACCACTTCCAGCCCCATGGTGGGTCCTGCCAGGATGGATCCTGATGCACCCATAAAGCCAAAAGTGAGGGCAGGACTGAGGCTGGTGCCATGGTCTCTAATGGGCCCACGGAGCAGAAAGGGCTGGTCTCTCACCTCAGTGTCAGCAGAGCTGTGGTGGCTGGACCACAGGACATCATGTTCCCCTTTCCTGCTCTGGGGGGCTCAGCTTGAATTATTGTCTAGGAGCCCATCTGTGTCCTCCTAATGAATCCTGCTGAGGTGGAGTTATTCAATTTGTGCTCCATTAATTAAAGCATCTGCAGGCTCGGGGGAGCCAGCATGGCTCCAGGCTTTGCATTAAACAGTCAGTGGGAAGGCCTCAGCTTTAATTTACCTCCATCCTCCTCAGCTCCTGCGGAAGTGAGGAGCTGTAGCTAATGCAGCCTGAGCTCCTCAGTCCATGAGAAAATGGTTTTGGGAGAGGAACCAGCCAGGGCTGTGCTGTCACAGGGCATGTTACCCTTGCCTGCAGCTGTGTGAGGGGCTCGCGCAGCCACGAGGCAGGTCCCTGTCACCTTTCCAGCACTGCCTTGCTCTGGGAGTGTCAACTGCTCAGTTACACTTTGGATGAGGAGTGGGATGAACAGTGGGGGTCACATGAGAGCACATTGCTGCTTCACAGAATTACAGGATGGTTGGGGTCAGAAGGGACCTTATAGATCACCTTCCTTTAGGCCTGTGGTGGGGAGGCACATCCTACTGGTTTCCTCTTCCAAGACAACAGTGCCCCAAAGGGACACAGGCCCCACTCACCTTCCAGCCGTGTTCACTTTCTGGGCCTCTGTCACTGTCTGATCTCCTCTTCTCTGCTGTTCTCCGCTCCTCTGCCTGCAAGAGCACAGACACAGGAGTCATTTCAAGGATTAAGCAAGGACTCCTGGCAGGGGAGCCAATGCCTGACCCTGTGCCCACCGGGACATGAAAGAACTGCTCAGAAAAGGTCAGAAAAAGAGGAAGGATTAGTTTCTGTGGCCCTTAATCAAGGTGGTGTAGATAAAAAGGGAAATCAGAGAGCAAAACGTGTGTGAGAAATTATTCCCACAGGTCCCTCCCTCCTCCCAAGGAAGGGGCCAAGAGCTGTCCTGTATAGTCCCATTTCTTTTGAAGTCAAACCAAGTTTCAGATTTGGGCCAAAGACATAGCTTATGATTCAGCTGCTCAAGATCTGGGAGCCAACCTAAGGTGCAGCTAAAAGCCAGCATGGGCAAGCTGGGAGTGATTTCTGTCCTTGGCAAACATGGGTGCCCTTCTAGCAGGATCCATCCCTGCTCCCACTGGGTTTATCCATGCTGTCACCCCTCAGCAGAACAGCCTGCAGAGCACAGAGCTGTGTTGGGAAAGGCTTCCTGCCTGGCTGGACGGCTGCAGGGCCGGGGGCGTGTGGGCTGAGCTACCATTGTGCAGTGCCAAGCAGAACTGAAACACAAAGAGGAACGTGGAGCACAAACTGCCAGCTCAGCCCTTCCAGAAAGCGGCAGCGCGGTGGGATCCAGCCCAGGCTGGAAACAGGACTTTTATTCCAGGCATTTGCCAGCCCCAGGTTTAGTTTTAGAGGTTGGGTGTGGGAAACTCAGGATGTCAGTCTCAACACCTGCAGCTCTGCCCAATCTCCTCAGGCAGCTCACCCCGCTGCCCGCTGTTCTCACATACCCAGTGAGATCAGGGAGGGAGCAAGCTGGGGACGGGCTTTTTGGGGGATTGCTCACACATGCTGAGTCTGAGGAAGGTGGGAAGTGTGGCCACACAGCCACTGCTCACAGACACTGCCCTTGGTGCACAACAACTTTGCTGGTCTGACTGGTAGTGCCAGTGCAGATGGAAGCTTGTGAAAACAGATCCTAGGAAATAACGAGGAAAATGTTAGCTATATTGTCCTAAGATTTTTCAGCAAAGATTTGGGGGTGCTCAGAGAAGCCACTCCTCACCATATCCTGTGTGCTGCAAAAGGGGATTTACTGCAAAATGTTACTGTGAAAACTTATGCCAACAAAAATGCTCCCTCTGGACTCCAAGTCCCCTGTTCGTGCAGCCCCACGAGAAGAACACTGTAGTGAGGGATCCAACAAGTCTCTGCACCCCAAACCGAGCATTTACAGAGAGATTAAACAGCAGAAACCTGGAGAGCTTGCTTACTTAGGGAGCTGGCTGGGAGCAAGGTGCAGAGGGGCCTTTAGCCTTAAAGCAGCTGAAAGTGAAACTAGAAGTCCTTTTGGAAAGGGGACAAAGGAGTCAGTTACTGCAGGAGAGCCGGAGCCCCTCTATCCCTGGGGGAAACCTGGTGTTGAGGGGAGAGATGGGAGAGAAGGAGCACCATTTGCCTCCAAAATGCCAGACAGCTTATGACTGATGGGGAAACTGAGGCAGGGAGCTGCAGGGCCGTGTGTGCTCACTGTTCCATCTGAGTCTGCCTATCTCCCCCCAGGCTCATGCAAAGAGTGATTCCATCTGGCCCCTTTACAATGCCCGGCTGGGCCCCCCAGGACAGGAACCGGAAAACCGGAGTATCCGCACAGCCAGAGCGCTGAGCCAGGCCGTGAGCAAGCTGGAGGGAGCAGTGAGCTCTGCCTGCAGCCAGCACAGCGTCCCTTCAGCCCTGGAGCAGCCAGGAGCCAGCAGGTGCCCAGGGAACCCGCAGGGATGGCCCGGCTGAGGGACCGTGCTGCGGCTTGCGGGATATGGGGGAAGAGGCAGCTCCTGCACGGCTGGTCAGTGCTGGAGACCTGCATGCCAGAGTCCTGCATTGCAGAGACTGCATCCCAGAGAATGTCCCAGAGTCCAGCATCCCGGGGCTCTCCCAGAGTCCAGCATCCCAGGGCTCTCCCAGAGTCCAGCATCCTGGGGCTCTCCCAGAGTCCAGCATCCCAGGGCTCTCCCGGAGTCCTGCATCCCGGGGCTATCCCACTCGGAGCACTCGCTCGTCAGTGCCCACCACAAACCGCTGGGTCACAGGGACACCACACAACCCTCCACCCCTTTGCACCCTCTCTCCAAGCCATGCCTTTGGCTTTAGTCTGCAGCTTTTTTTGCTTCTCAAAGGGCCCTGTGGAAAACTGAGAGAACCACAAAAATGTAGCTCTTTTGTACCAGGACAGCAGGTCTAGGGTGAGCACAGAGCAGTCGGCTTTGCTCTTGCTCTGGCTCCAGAGCAGATTTCCCACTGTCCTGCTGCCCCAGAGCTGCTGCTCCTCTCTCATCACACACCACCAGGAAGCAAAACATGTTTTTCTCCTTCTTCCTCCTCTCCACCCCCAAAATGATGAAAAATGACAAGGACATTATCATCCCTAGTGTAACTGTTCCAGCAGAGCAGGGGGAGGGCACAAAAGCCTGAGGCAGAGAGGGAAGATTACAGTTGTTTATCCCAAGGTTTATGCCAGGATTTCTCAGTTTCTTAGCCCAGAATGCCCTGAGGTGGGGCAGAGCCTGCTCCAACCCAGGATACAGGTCTGTCTGGCCTCCCAACACATTCCCAGGCAGTGGTGACAGTGCTGGTGCCATTATCCAGCCACGTTCAGCACTGCTTTGTGCTCCCAGTTCTCAAAAAGCTTTGACAGGCTTCCACATCTCTGGGCTACTTCACTGTCTTCTTATTTCAAAAACAGGCACTGACAGATGAGTTAAATTAACCTTTTGGTACCTATTTCTCCAGGCACGTGTCAGCACCACAACTGGCATTTCTGTTGCAGGAGGAGATTTTTGTAGGAGCTTAGAGCTGGTTTTCCAGTGCTCAGATCCCCCACTGGGCAGGATTTTTGAAACTAGTACATGAGAGGATTTTTTTTTTTTAAGTCTTTTGAAAAATCTGCCTCCTGCTTGTGCTGCCTGAAGGGAGCTAAAGATTTCTCAGCCACCCTTTCTGCCTATTTTCCTCTCCCACCTGCAATGTAAAAGCGAGTGTTTCTCCTGCCACAGGTTTGGTTGCTCTCCTGTGCAAGTGCTGGAGTCCAGCACATGTGTGTTAGCCCCTGAAAGCAGCTTTTGTGTCTCTTGATTACAGTAATTTCTGATACACCATCCTGGGAAACTCTGTTAATAAAAGGACAATTTAAAAGCCCTGAAGCTCTATCAACCACCCATTTAAAAGATGATTTGTAACCTGTTAATTAACCATTGTGCTCTGCTGGTCCTGGGCTGCTGTCTCTCAGCTCTGGCGTATTAATGAGCCTGAAACACTGCCAGAGTGTTTCAGGCCATGGAGTGGCTTTTTAGGGCTGAACGGGAGGCATTGTCCCCAGCCCTGCTGCAGGGAGAGCCCTGAGGCAGCTTTGGGGACAGACAGGCAGAGCTGGCTCCCAGAGGTGGCACCTCCAGGCCAGCAGCAGCTGGCAGTGGCTGCTGCATCAGCGTGAAGCTGCATCAGTAGAGTGAGGGGCTTTGCAAGGGGGCAGGATAATTTGGTCCCCCCAGCCCACTGTGCCACCAGAGAGTGAAAGAGCCTTTCACCTTCTGGCCCTGGGGCTGCCCTGGCAAGGGAGATCACCAGAACTGCTGTTTTCCCCTTGCATTTCCTCTCTGGCAGCTCCTGCCCCAGCTGTGCCACAGTCTGGCACCGGCAGTGTGGGGTTAGCCAGGGGCACCACGGGCAGCAGGAATAGCAAGAATTGGAGTCTTCTTTTTTCTTCCTTGTTTTCTTTTTATTGAATTTCACCATGAATAAAAATAGAGAAAATGAGGAGTGATGAGGACACCCATCAAATACTTTGATAGGATAAATCTGACAAATGCAAGGAGGAAGCAGCTTGCCACTGTCCAGGCTACTGAAGGGGGAGTGATGGATGTGATCCTTTCTCCTAGGTCTCTGTGCTAACCCCAGAAGAGCAGGAAACCAGGTGGGGCTTGAGGTGAAAACCTCCAAAGGATGGACTGTGCTGGGATTAATGAGAGGCTGAAAGCTAATCCTTGAACTGGGGGTCCCAGATCAAGTCCTAACACTCAGCTAGACAGATGGCAACACTGACACCCCGCCAGGCTCTCCCTCCCAGTAGCTGCTCAGTTTGGGGATGAAGATGGAGTTTCTCATTTTGGATTAACAACTGATTAAAAGGTAGGAAAGAAAAAGTGGCAAGGAAATGGCGGTTTCCATGGCAGAAGATTAGCAGGAGTGTGCCACTGGAATATGTGCTGCTCAACATGCTCATAAATGGTCTGGAAAAGGAGCTGAAGAGAGGGATGACAGTTTGCTGACGATACTAAATCATCCAGGGCAAAGAATGTAATTTGCCCGGAAAGAGCTGCAAAAGATCTCTTGACATTGAATGTCTGCATCATAAAATTACAGCTGAAATTCAATATCAGGAATACAAAATGACTCCCACGGAGAAAATGCCCTCCTTGTGTACCCACACAGAGTAACAAGGGCTGAGCTCCGATTAACAGTCAGGGACGATGGTTTAGTGCTATTGTGACCAGTTCTCTGAAAATGTTAGCTCAATTATTTAGCAAAGAAAATGCAAAGTTGTTGGGAGAAGAATAGAGAACAAGCCCAAAACATTGCTGTGTCACTGATATGTCCAGGAGAGCCCACAGCTGGAATATCATGTGTACTTCTGGTCTGCATGTACTGAAAGAATATGGTAAAAATAACCCAAAGCACAAATGGGGACAGTGAGAGTGAAATATGGGACTACGTCCTTGGCAGACATGTCTAAATAGGGGCAGTCTCTTAAGGTTTATGAGATGGTTGAAGGGAGACATGAAAGGGATCGATAAAATCATTTGTGCTTTGGGAAGTGACCAGGGGATGATCTATGAACTGCTTCCCGTGACACAGGAATGGCAAATGGAGCTATCAGGGAGCAAGGCTGAAGAGAGAGAAGAGATGGATGTTCCAGCACAGCACATCACTTAACCCTGCAGCTCCTGGCTGCTTGGAAGGGATACAGTTTAGATACAACGAAGAAAAAGAGCGCAATTTAGGTAAAGAGAAGCCCGTCAAGGAGAATGATGCTGTTCTTGGCAGAGGAGGGCCCTAATTTGTAGGCTGGAAGGGAGGGATGACTACAGGCTTCCCTGGTCTTCTCCTCTTTCCCTGACACAGTGCTGCTGCTGCAAACGCTCCGTGTGCACCACCCCTGTGGCACACACCGAGTTCTGCAGGCTACAGTCACTCCCACAGGCTTTGCACATTTGGTGGTGTTGCCTCTGCAGGCTCCCAGGCCCTCCTGGAGAACATCCCTCTGCAGCACAGATGTGAGACAGACCTGCCTGGGCTCAGTTTTCAAGGACCCTCTCTGATAATGAAGAAATATTGGTTTAAAATACTAATCCCTAACGCAATTTAGGATCAGCTGAAGGGACAGGGTGAGCCAGCCCAAACCTCCCTGGACTGCACCGGCCCAGGCTGGCACCACGTGTGAGATGCCAACATGACCTGTCACTTCAGGTCCCATCTGCTTCTGTCACTGATCCTGGGAAAAGGTTGCCCAAGTGTGGACAGAAGGAAGCAGCTTGCAGAGGTGACAGGAAATGCAGCATTTCACTCCCTCACAGCCACACCCTTTTGTCTCATTGCAAGGAGCTGGATTTTGTCCTGGCGGCTGGAGCTGTTGCCTGAGGTGATACAATTAACATGGCAATAGGAAGATATCCTCATTAACCAGGGATGGAGCAGGGCCTGATCAGCCCAGGAATAAGGAATTCTCCTGAGCTCAGCTGGACTCTGAAACATATCCAGCTGGTAACAGCTGTTGGAAACCAAAGTTTCAAACACTTTCGTATCTCTTTCTGAATTGTAAGAGGAACCCAAGGGCCAACAACAAACACTCCCACGAAAGCCCATTTTAAATAAGCTCATTAACAGGCTCTTCCTGCCCCTCCATTTCCCAGCCATGGGAGCTGGGCTCTGTGGCAGCCCCAGTGCCTGCTCCCTGCCTCCTGTCAGCCTGGGACAGCACGTTCCCTGGAAGCACACTGCTTTCCAGGAAGCAGGAGCTTCCCACAGGCTGGAGTGGCTATGACTAAAGCTCAGCAGCAGAAGCAGGGGACATTCTGTCTGTGCCAGCACAAAGTGTGCTGTGCTCCTTGGAAGTGTTGGATAACCAGAGTTACACGAAGCCTCTGTGGCTTTCCTGTGCTCCTGACAGATCCTTCTCTTGGTCAGCCAAGGCAATGGAGGCCCCAAACAGCTCTGCATAACCCCCTTCACTGAGGATATCAGCACCAGCTCCCCCTTGGCACCTCACAGCCTCTCTCACAGCCCACTGCTGCCAGAAGAGTGCCCGAGCTGCAGTCCCACCCTCTGCCACCCACCAACCCTCATGCACACCCTGAATATCAGGTGCTTTGGGGCCAACATGAGCCAGGCATCACCAAACCCATGAACGTGAACACTCAGCCTCAAATTTCATGCTCCACAATGAAATCTTCTCCAGGGCTGTCCATACACTTAAAGGAAGGCACGGGATCTGAAGCCAAAATCCAGGCACTGCTCCTGCTGCTCTCTCCAGCACAGCCCCAGCCTTGATGACTGCAGAGACAAGGCCACTTCAACAGGCCCAGCAAGAGCAGAAGTGGAACACTTGTCCTGCACATCACAGAAGCACACTGGACAGCCCCAAGGACAGGGACAGCACAGGCATGGCCAAGTCCCTCCCATCACGTCCAGGTGTGTTGGTGATTCCTAGACTGAAATGGTAATGCCTGTCCTGTGGACCTCTGGGGTTACCAGTGGCTCAATCAGGCAGCTCACACGAGGTTTATGGCATCCAAAAAGCTGCTTGGCAGCCACAAGGAAGGAGCACTCAGAGCCAGGTAAGCCTGAAGCAGGGGGAGAAGCTGAAAATGAGTGTGGGCAGCAGCAGCAGATGGCTGGCTCTGTCCCAGAGAGGGGGCTGCAGACGTCTCCCAGCATTCCAGGGTGTGTTTGGCAGCCACTCCGGGTGTTGTTTTCCCGCACAGTCTTTGCTGACCCTGTTTGCTGCAGGCATTCTTTCTTATCTGTGAAACTCTCCAAGAGGAGAATAGCACATGCCTCCGTGTGTGTAAGGAGGAAGGTATTTGCAAGGAAGTATTTGAAACACGTTTCAAAGATATGTTTCAAACATCACTCAGCAGGTGATGGCCGGGCACAGCGGCACTTGGGTTCAGAAGCAGATATGACCCAGCCCTGTTAAGTTTTAAGCCATGCAGTGAGTCAGGAGGACACTGCTCCTGTCCCAGTCTGCTGTGTGGCCCCAAAAAGAAGCTGGCAAGAGAGAGGAGGTGAGATTCATGCCCCTTATCTGGTAGTGATTTCATCAATCCTCCCAAAACAGCATCTCTTTATGGATCCAGTGTCTCCACACTATTAACATATAGTCTCTCCCAGCCCCCTGTGGCCGGGCCCTCCTCATGCCAGCAGCACAGGTGGATGCCATGGCTAGGTTCCAGCCACGTACCTTTTCCTTGTTATCCATGGTGATGGCAATCTGCATCCTCCTGCCCCGCCGGAAAGCCACCAAGTGGTCCGTGTCCTCCTCGCCCAGCTCCGGCACCCGGCCCGGGCCGGGGAAGCTCTCAGCACGTTTCTCGCTGACGATCCGCTTGCCCTGGAGGGGACAGGATGGGTTAGGGACACCTCCAACAGCCTGCCTGGGACAGTGGCCATCCCAGGCTGGCAGAACAGAAAATGAGCCGGGCGGGCAGTCAGTCCCCTTGGCTTACAGAGCTACCACCCCACTTGAAGGGATCTGGGTGTGTTTAGCTGGGCACAGCATAGGCAGGGTGGGATTTACCTTGCAGCATGGACGCTGCTGGATGGTTTTATTTTCAGCTTGCGTTTGTGTCTGTGAAACAAATGTGAAGTTGTCCCCACCCCACAGACAATAAAATGTGAGGTTACCTCAGAGCAGAAGCCAAGAGGGAGGGGAACAGTGGGTTTCTCTCCAACCTTGCCCACAAAGCAGTAACTCCCCTCAAGTGTATTAGCACTCGGTAATTTATCATTTCACAGTCATTGTGTGTTCATATTTCTGGAATGATTTATTCAGCAGTGGAACAGTTTAGGAAACTGATATATAAACTCCTTGAGCAGGGGCAGTTCCCCCTCTCAGATATTATTTCCAGCTGTCCGTACCAGCGTCATGACTTCCCCGCATGGATTTCCATATGGCTCCTATTTTGTTAATGATCTTTGTTGCTGGCTGAACCCCTGCCAGTGCCCTCAGCCATCACTTCCATAACATGAGCACATCATTTGTGCAAAAAGACGTACTTCTCCTTATTTAAAAGTATCATCTTTCAGGTCCATCATGTGCCTTTTTATTTTTGCTTTACAAGGAAATGAGAGACATACTATGTCATCTCCGTCATTATCTCTGATCTTTTTCTTTTCTCTTCATCTGCATGAAGTCTGCTCAACTTTACCAGGGATGAAGGAACCTCAGCAGTTTCCCTCTGTAAAGGATGGTGTATTTTCCTGTTTTCCTCCTTGGGATTCCAAGCATATGGAATCTTGATTTCAAAGGAGCTCAAAATCTCCAAGGAAACTTCAGTGAAACGTGGGAACTCTTTGTTGCTACAAACTTGGTTTCAAAAACAAACAGCACACCCTGACCTCTGATTTGTAGAGAAGACTTGCAGTCAAGTTCTCTGCCATGATATATGAGCCAAGAAGGCTCACATTAGCCCTCATCTCCCCTCAGCTCTTCCAGGAGTGCAGATGTTGGTGTGGAGGGAGCCTTGATGTGCACAGCCTCCGTCAGCACAACCATTTTTATGGCTTCTCAGTCATCAAACCTCCTAACACATGATAAATGTTTGAGGAGACACTGCAGGATTTCCAGTAGCAGAGCCTCAGCCTCTGGTTTATTCATCTTTCACATCTGGGTGATTTTGCTGGCTCAGCAGAGGATGCAGGGGAAAGGAGGAGTAATCCCTGAGCTGCCGATGGTCCTGCCTGTCCCAGCTGTGTGGACACGGTGGGAACCTTGTTACACATCCCCTGAGGATGTACAGCTCTGCTTTAGGGTCCCAGCTGCAGTTCCTAACAAGTTTTGCTGCTCTCAGGACGACCTTTGCCGTTTCTGCTTTTCTTGCAGTAAGTGAAGCCACATGTTGGGTTCAAAGCAAGGACGTGTTGCCGATGTGTTCTGTGCCATTTTAGCACCGCCCGTGCTGATCTCTATGTCGGGGTCAAGGCAGGTTCCTGCTCTGACATCTGTGAGCCCCCCCTAGAGATGGCAAGGTGTGTTCCTGAGACAGAAAAGCTGATCATCTCAGGATGGAGCACAACTAGTTTGGCATCTGCCACAGGCAGACAAGGTGTCACAGCGTGACAGGCAGCTGCAATGCTGCAGTACAGGAAGTGACTGCCTGGTCCCCACTCTAAAGTCACAGCTGGAGCTTTCAGGAACCCTCTATTCTGAGACAAACCAGAATTTTCCCCCTCACATCAGGAGGGGGTTTGGCTGTGCTGGAATGAGATTCCATTTGAATGGGATGTTCACATTCCCGGTACTCTGTCTGGAACAAAGGGAATGAGAGGCCTCTGTCCCTTTCTCCTGAAAAATCATTTGGAAAGGTGCATTTGTTCCCAAATGATTCAGTTCCTTCAAGGTAACATAAAAGGACTTTCTAATGGCACAGTGACTGTGGCCTATTTCTCCCCGGAAAGAAAGGGTAACTAGGTCACTGGGAAACAAATGAACAGGCATTCGAGGCACAAAATCAGGAAAACATTTCCAAGCTGCCTCACAGGGAGAAACAGCTCCTGCCTTTTGCTGACAGCCAAGGTTTGCAGCACTCCTGCCCCAATGTCCCGGGCAGCAGGAAGGGTGGGGCTTCTCTTCCTTATCCTGGGGAATGGCTTTGGATTGGACCTCAGTGCCACAAACCCACACGTCACTGTGCCTACAAGGGAACCCACGGGAGCACCACTTGCTGCCACCCTTTCCTTTTCCCAGCGCTGCTGTGACAGAGACAAGAATCATTATATCTGGATGCACAGGCTCCACAAGGAATGGGGTGGTGCCCAGGAGGGGATCTTTCAGGATTTAAAAAATGAAGTAGCATTTTCAATTACTTTTGCCTTTTCACACAATTTTTAATTAAATCTGCAAATACTGGGTCACACTTCCTGCCCATCTCATTGGCAGCTGAAAGCAACACTCATCTCAACTCTGTTTTTCCTTCTACATTCAGGATGTTCTGGAATGCAGTATCAGGGAGAAATGACGCTGCTTTTACCACCAAGCATCACTGCCTCCCTGGGAATGGCTGGGCTATAATGCAGCTAAATCTGTCTGAGCTCCCAGTCATTTCCAACCCCTTTCCACTCATAGCAACACAGTTTAACACCAGAGTGGCCCAGAAGGGTAACAAGGTGACTGATCCCTCGGAAAGGGACCTGGCTACCCATGGGTGGGTGTGGGGAGCTGCCAGGGGGCTTAGCAAGGCCCAGGGGCTGGTCCCTGGGAATCAGAAATGGGGAGGGAAGCGTGTGGTAACCCAAAATGAAAACTGAGGCTGTGCTGAAGGTTTGAGAAATGAGAGAAAAGGAGCAGGAAGAGAACTAATCCCTTTGGATGTGACATGCTGGGCAGAAAGATCAAGTGAAAGGAAGAACAGAAGCCCCTTTGTAAGTCAAGAGGCCACAGTGTAAGTGGAATCCTCTTCCCTGCTCACCTTTGCTTTGTTGTCCATGGTAACAGCCAGCTGCATCCTCTTCCCCATCCTGAATGTGAACATATGATCTGCTTCCTCCTCCTCCTCCTCCTCCTCGCTGCCAATGCCAAACCCAGAGCTCGCAGGACAGGGGCTTGCCCATTTCTCACTCACCACCCTTTTGTCCTGGAAAACGAACACTTCTGTTAGCAAATCCAGGCCCTTGGCTCAGGGATGTGACTCCCTTCCCCAAACACACCTGCACACAAGCGGGGAGGTGGCTGTGGAACAGGCAGACCTTGCCCCAGGGAAGCTCTCCATGCCCGGCAGGGTGCCGTGACATTCCCGGGGAACAAGGGGCTCCTTGTCTGCTCAGCAGCAAAACCCACAATTACAGCGGGGCTGAAAAGTCCTTTGCACTTACAAATCTGACATTTCAGACTGAAATGCCAGAGTTATGGGAAACAAATGTCATCCTCAGCTCTTTGTGCAGCACTCTGAGTTAGCTCGGGAAAGCCTAAGTCCTGCTGGAGGTGGCCTTGGAAGCCAAGAGGATGGCTGAGGGTGGTGCTCACCATCGAGAGGGCTGGGCTATCTTGTCCATAGTGTTCAGTCTGGGTAATTGCATCTTTCAGGTCCTGTATGAGAGAAAAATGTGTGCAGCAGCAGCGCCCCGGGAGAGGCGAGGGCCAGGCCGGGGTGGGAAGGGAGCACTGGTCCGGATCCAAGAACCCAGGAGTGCTGGAAGGAGGCTGGGCAGACTCAGTGGACTCCAAGCGAGCCCTGGCAGAGGAGCTGGCCCAGGGGTGAAGGCAGAACTGGCCACACTGCCAGGCCGGGTGGACAGGGCTTGTCAGACACAGATTTGGCTCAGTTAGGACGGGAGCCTGGAACTCGCAGCCTTTGGCGCAGAGCCACCTGCTTTGCTCACTCCCAAAGCCTAAGGAGACCATGAGTTTCCCCAGCCTACGGCATTCCTGATGCCTCCAGAGACACACACACCGCTGATAAGCTCTGCCTACGGATTTGCAATGATGCTGAACACCTGGGACCTGTCCAGGGCTGTGTGCCTGTTCACACATCCATCCACCTGCCTGGTAACTTTGCCTGAGTGGGTGCAAGTGCCTGGGCATGGCTGGAAATGTATGTGCAGCACCTAAAATCACTCTGAGCACACACCCCTGCAGAGTTTCCCCACCCTTTTCAGGACTCAGGAGCTGTGTCCTGTGCCTCAAAGGGCTTGCTGTGGAGTGTCTCTCTCTGCAATGTCCCTTTGCTGTGGCAGGACTGGAGTGAGAGCTGGTCCGTTGTGAAGGAGAGGCAGCACTTACGTTGTGAGCTTTGGTGATGGTAATAGTCAGTCCATCCTGCTTGGGTCTCCTGGAGGTAACAGCCATTCCCTCCTGCTCTGCTCGCTTTTTGTCCTCTTCTATTTCCTGAAACACAGATCTCACCTTACCACCAGCCTGTCCCGGAATGGCTACGGATGTTGTCTGTTTTCCTCTTTAGGAGTTCTGCTAAACAGATCCACCTCCCCCTCTAAGAGGGAGTGGCCCAACTTGTGTCCCAGCTGTGGGACACAGACAGAGGAAGGTGGCACGGGGAGAGGAGATGATGCAGCACTGAGGCATCAGTGTCTGTTCTCCAAAACAACTCAGCACTGTAGCCAAAGGCAGAGCTGTGCCCACCTGCTCTGAGAGCTTTGCAATATAAACATGGTTATCTGTATAACACAGTCACGCTGATAGTGCTGACAATCTTCTTTACACTGCGAGTTGAGGACCCTGAGTCAGAGCTGGGCAAGGGAGGGACCTGCAGACTCACCTGGTACCTTCGGATCAGCGCTTCATTCTTCTTCCGCAAGGCCAAGATTTTCTTATCGAGTTCAACATCTTTCTGCTCTTTCTTCCTTAACACAATATCATCCACAGCAGCATCCTGGAAACAGGAGCAGAGCTCTCCTCAGTAATCACAGCAGCAGGATGAAACCTGCTCCTTCTGTCTGGATAGGATGGGAAGTGGAAGAATCTGTCCCCACCACTTCTCCCTGACTTTTTCCTGACAGAACTGATCTTTTTTGTTTAGCAATGAGGCAGTTTGGGCAAAAAGCTGCTGTCCCACTCTGATGGCTGTCAGTAGGCTGCAGAGTTAACACCCTGCTTAGCTGCGTGCAGTAAATGATCCTCCCCTTTGGGTGTTCTCAGGTACAGGTTCAGATGTCCTCCCCAGACATTCATTGGTTACCGCAGGGGATCACAATCAGGAGTTTTTACAATTCTAGTGACAACAGTGTCTAATGAAAATTAATCCTGTTGAGGATCTCTGCAGGACATCTCTGTCCAGGTGGGACAACAGGGACATTTAAACCACCTCCACACATTCTCCTGCTGGACAATGGAGTTTTGTCAAGCTCTGTGGGAGAAAGACTGGCTTTTCCATTGCCCTTCGTCATCGGGTGAGAAGATTACCTGTGTGGGTGGATACACTTCCATGGGCATTTTGCAAGGTTGATTAGAGCTGAATTCGGTGTTTACCTGAACAGAAGCTGTTCTGGGAGCACTAAATTGGCAGGTTTGCTGTTTGCTGAGTGCTGGGGTGTTGGCTGCTGAGGGTGGGATCAAAGTGGTGCCTGCCCTCTAAAACACCCCTTTCATCTTCAAATTCCTTTGAAGGAGGACTGGCAGAGCTGCCAGCTCGGGAAGAATTTAAAAATTCCTGCAGAGACTGTATTTGTGCTCTTCTCTTTCAAAAGTGAAAGATGGAAAACACCTGTCAGGCTGTTCTCCCTCAGCCCATTTGTCAGCATTTTGTCTACGCTGCAACAGGGCTGGTGTCAGGAGGAGGGGGGTCTTTTCACTTCCAGCTGGAAACGAGTCACTGGAAGGAAAGTTTTGCTGGTGTTCAGCACTTCTGCTGGCCTTTATTAAGGAGGCCATGAAGGTGTTTCTCTCTGCACAACCTGCTTCAGCAAATGCTGGTGCCATGGCCGGGCGGTGGCCCCGTGGCCGAAGCGCCAAGCGGAGCCCACGCCGGGCTCCAGGGGCTCTCCCATTGTACTCTTCAGCCCAGTCAGCATTTGCTCGTCTGCGGCCGCCCTGGGCCGGCTGCGAGCAGGGGCTGTGCCCTCTGCTCTGCTTCTGGAACAAACCCGCTGGCCCAGCCCGTGCTCAGGCTGATGCTCAGGATGGAAAGTGGCCCCACCGTGCCCTCCCCGGAGTAAAGCTCTTCCGGGGAGCCAAGGTGCCCGTATGTCACGGCAGCTGAGTTATAAATGGCTTTGGCAGCACAAACATGCGATGGCTTTGAATCAGCAAGCGGCTGAACCCGAAGCCTCCCCAACAGCAGGGCAGAGCCGCAGAACCAGAGGCTTCATTCTACCGCAAATAAAAATGTCACAAAAGGAGCAAATAGAAAGCTCTCGGCTTCATACTTCAATGGAATGACGACACCCCGTTGTGTCCCAGCCCCTCTCCCCAGTGGCACACACTGGCTACGCAGCTCCTCGGGGGCTGGAGGGACGCCCCACTCCACACTGGCTGTGCGTGCAGTGCTTTCCCCCACACTTCCACGATCGCCTGCCTCTGCAGTGAGACCTTGGACGCAGCAGGGTTGGGAGAGCGAGCAAGGCAGTGGGCGGTGGGGAGGGGAGGGAAAGGAGAGAGGAGCAGGGCCCTTACTAACGCTCTCCTGCGTAAGCAAATGCATCCGCTCTTTTTAAGAAATATCCTCTTCCTTGACAGCTGCCGCTGAAACCCTCGCTGAGATAGACACCATCTAGCACTGCCTGCGTTTGTTTGTTATCTACCTCCCGGGCAGCGCACTGTCCTGAGGCAGCCACCGCACCCTGCCCCAGCAAGGGACGCAAAGCCCAGCACCCAAAATGCGCCCCCACACCCTCCCCGTAGTGCAGCACGGCTGTTTGCTCCCCTGCCTGCTGGCAGCCAGGCGAGGCAGGGCAATAAGAAAGCGACAGCCACCGCAAGGCCACCCTGCAGGGTGTGCGAGTCCTTGCGTGGCCCCTCGGGTGAGGGACCCCGGCCCCGCGCCCCTCCCAGGCCCCGCGCGGGCGGCACTCACAGCTCGGTGCATGTTGGACATCGGCGCAGCCCGGCGGATTCCAGAGCAGAGCTAAAAGAGGAGAGCCATCAGACGGCCTTTCTCAGCACTGGTTGCACAGCATACAAGATCATGTTTTGATTACAAAAGCCTCGTCTGGGCTCACAGCCAAGAGCACTGGCTGCCTAATATACCAAGCACAGACAGGGTTTGGAGTGCCTGTGTCCTCCTCTCCAATCTCACTCTCTTTTTAAAAGAAACACTCCCCCTTTTCCCCCCTCCTGACTCCTTTTAACTTCCTGATGCCACAAGCCCTCGTTCAAAGTGGGAAAAGCCGGGCGAACAATGTGGGATGGTTCAGGCAAACAGCTTGGCTTGGCTGCGTGGCCATTCACGGGGTCGTTGTTTGTTATGCATGGCTGGCTGCACGCCTGGCGGGTGGCAAATATCTGGGGTCCTGCACGCCTTGTGAGCGCCAGTGTGTGCACGGGCCTTCCCGGGAAAGCAGGGCTCAGGCTTGCCTTTTTCTGTTTAATTTCAGTATTCTCCAGGAATGATCTCTCTGCTGTTAAAGTGGGCATGTCCTTCAGGAGGAAGCAGAGGAATGCCGTGGGGTGGGCATCACCAGCTGGCACCGTGCAGGAAGCACACAGCCAAAGGATAGGGACCCTCCTAAGTTTCTGTGTGAAAGTTGCCAAAACCACCCCCAGAAGAGTCCCAGTAGCAGGGAGGCTTTGGGGGAACAGCATTCAGCTGCAGTGACTTGGGTCGCCACATGAACCCTTCTCTCACCATAGAATGTCCGAGTTGGAAGGGACCCATAAGGATCACTCAAGTCCCACTCCTGGCCCTGCTCAGTCCCAACAATCCCACCCTGTCCCTGAGAGCATTGTCCAAACACTCCTGGAGCTCTGGCAGCCTTGGGGCCATGCCCACTGCCCTGGGGAGCCTGTTCAGAGCCAACCACCCTCTGGGGGAAGGACCTTTTCCTGAGATCCAGCCTGACTCTGCCCTGGCACAGCTCCAGCCATTCCTATGGATCCTGACACTGGTCACCAGAGCAGAGTTTGGGGCTGCCCCTCTGCTGCCCCTTGGGAGGAGCTGCAGACAGCCAGGAGCTCTGCCCTCAGTCTCCTCCAGGCTGAACAAACCAAGTGACCTCAGCCGTGTGTCCTGGCTGTGTGCTGCATCCTCCCTCAGCGCACATTGGCTGCCCCTTCCCTCAACCCTGAGGAACTCAGATCGAGAGAGAGGCCCACAGGAGATGAAAGCACACCAGGGGACGTCTGATGCACACCCCAACCTGAATCTGGGCCCTGCTATGTTCACACATTAAACAACCTGAGGAGGCCCACTGCAGGTACTTGTCCCCTCTAACACCTTTGAGCAGCTCATCTGCTCACAAAATCTAAGAAGTTTGGCCTGAAACCCAGAGTGGGTCAAGGGAAACCTGCAAAAGACTTTGCACAACTTGGAATCTGGTCCCTCCTCTGTGCATGACTCAGGCTGTTGGAGATCAGGGCTAAGGCACTAAGGAGCGGGAAGCACAGCTTAGTACAAGCGCTTGGAGGGACAGACTGACCCATATTAATTAGTAGCTACTTAAATGATGAAAGAAAATTGAAACCATTTCCAAGGCAGTGCCTCTGGATTCAGGCTTGATGAAGGAAATGAAGAATGCTGTGTGTGGAAAACTGGGAAAAAGACACAAGAGCTTTGCTTGTGCCTTTGGAGGTGCAGAGTCATGAGGAGCTTTTCCTTGCCCTGCGAACACAGGGCTGCCTTGGGCTTGACTTTGGCATAGTCCCTTGTGAGGGTGATGTCCCATTTTCTCTGGGCTGGTGGCTGCAGGGACAAGGTCAGCCCTGGGAGATGCTGCTGGGCTGAGTCAGGGAGTCAGTGTTCATGGGAACACTTTGCCCAGCGCCGGCGCATTATCCTGTCACTGTGGTGGCCACGCTCCTGGCCTCAAGCAGTCTGCAAACGCTGCCAACAGCTGGTCCAGGTTAAAGCAGAGACCATTATCCCAAACTCCATGGCCAGGTTGTGTGCACAGAGCAGGGTGAACCCGTGTGCCGCAGGGTCCGCTGTGCTGCCCACAGATCCCAGCGGCTGAGGGCCTGTGTCATGCCCAAGTTGTGAAGGCTTAAGCCAAGTGCTCACAAAGGGCTTTTCCAGACCTCATAGCCATGGCATCCTATGCCCCTGCCATGATCAGCAGGGTGGCCAAGCTCTTCCAGCAGGCAGGAAGATCCCTAAAATACCTCTGCCTTTGCTGATGTACCTGGAGAGCTGCAGTTCCCTCCAGGGCAGCACTGGCTGCTCCTTCCCTCAACACAAAGAGCTGACATGTCTCAGCTGTCCTTTACCATGTCTGAGTGGCACAAATGACAGGCATCTACTTCTGCATCATCATCTGAGATCAGTGAGAACATGAACCCTCAGTGAACACGGCGGACACGGAAACCCAGGGGCAAAAGGGCCCAGCCAAGGGAGCAGCATCTGCAGCTGCAGCAGAGGGGCAAACCAGGCTGGTTTGGGGACATTTGTGCCCTTGGGACTGTCACAGGAGACAGCAGAGAAAGCAAAACCCTGCTGAGATTTGTGGGGTTATGTATATGCACATACATTTGGTTATTCCTGGTGCCATGGCCAGGAGGGGTTGCAGTAACACCACAGCTGTTCCCAACCTGGGGGCTTGTCCAAAACTATCGAAGCCCATGCTTTGAAGTGCAGTGAAGTGCACTGCTCTGAAGTGCAGTGTCAGCCCAAAGACTGTGCCTATCTCAGGACACACTGAATCCTGTTCACATGGTCAACCCCACTTCGGTGGCTGCAGCACACCAGTCCTTCTCTCTCAGGCCATTGGTGGCACCATTTCCCACCTGCAGCAGTTTGACAGGGTACCTCAGACAGTGAGTGTGTCCTGCAACCTCATGCAACAGTGAGGATATCTGGAGAAACCAGCCTCAGTATCAGCAACTTGTTCACCACCCCTGTAGCTGATGCCTTTATTCTTTAAAACCCCAGAAGACCTTTCCTAGGCAGGATGGCCTGACTCTGGGCTGCTGGTGCCACCTCTGAAGCCATGGGGCACACCCAGGGTGGCTCTGCACTTTCTGCTTCAGGGAAAGGGGATGTGCCAGCTCTTGCTGACCACGGGCAGCCCCTGAAGGAGCAGTCCCTGGGGTGGACAGCAGCTGATCCTCAGGAAAGCCTGGAAGCTGGAGGAATCAAGAGGACATAAGGGGGTTTGCTGCATTGTCCTGCTGTGGCTGTGCTGCACAGGGACCTGGCTCACTGTCCCTAAGTGCAGCTGCCTACTTGGAGGGCAAAGCTTGCCCACTCAGGGCAAAGTTTGCTGGAGATTTTTCTGGGGCAAAGGAAGGAAGTCAGAGCAATGACCTCTCCATTCTGTGCTCGTGACAGTGAAATAGTCCCTTTCTCTAACTGTCTGCACAGGCTCTCCCTTTCAGTTTGAGCACAAAGAACCATCCCCACAGGAGTCTGCCCTCTCCCCACTCCAGGACAGCGCTCAGCACTGGTAGAAAGTTTTGCCCCACATTTTAACAGCAAGACTTGTTTCTTCTGTCTCTCTGCCTTACACAAAGGCTAAAGACAAGAAATTGATTCTTCAAAAAACCCAAACCTGCCTGCCCTGAGAAGCATTCCTGGGCAAACGCTCCCTCCCTTTCCTTTTGCACTACGTGAAACTCCTTCAGAGCCACTCAGTCTCACGTTGCCACTTTCTCCAAGTGCACTTCACCCAGCTTCATCCTGGCTCCTCTCCATTTTTTGCAGGACCGCTGTCGAGTCAACAGATGGCACTCGGGAACTGCCGGGAGGAGCCGGGAGCAGCTGCCAGGAGCCCGCTGGAGGAGCTGAAGTCTGGCTGGTTTTATCTCGTGTGTCGGGACTGCAGAAGAGCCACAGGGCCGTGTCAGAGCCGCTCCTGTGCACGGCTGTGCGCAGCGATGGACTCACCGACCTGCCCGAGACCCCCGAGCCGAACTGGCAATCCCCTCCAGGCCTGGGCTAGAGGGAGGGATGGCAACACGCTGGATATCAAAGGAGAGTTCCCAGCAGCCCGGAGGCATCTTTCCTATGGAACACAGAGCAAACTTCCCCACAATTAACCCACTGCTCCCTGCCTCCCAGCTCTGGTCCTTCGCCAGATGCACTGCAGGACAAAACTGCTGGAGGTGTTTCCTCCAGCCAGGAGAAAGGTCAGCATATTCCCTAGACTGGGAGGAGGGACCAGCCAGGAATGGTAAATGGGCTTTAGCTGGAGAGACTCATGGGGATCAGAGGACTGCTGAGACATTCATTTTTAAACGGATCAATACACAATTAAAATGTAAACTACCAAAGAAAGTTAAAGGATATAATGGCAGTTTGGTCCCGCTTTAAAGCAGTGGGGATCATAGCTGCCTGTTGGTACTTCCCAGAGGGATACCAAGCATGGCACAGCACAGGAACAGCTCAGGATGTGCAGAGCAGCCCTCTTCCCATGAGGCACAAGTCTGTCCCCTCTTTTCCCCCTCCCTGTGCATCATCCCAGCCTGCAGGTTCTTGCCTCAAGCGCTGTGAGTGAGAGCTGTGCTGCCCATGTTTAATGCCACCTTGAATAACTCATGATCCCATCAGTTCTCGTGGAATTTTCTGCTCCCGAAAACTTGTCATTCCGGTGTAAGGTCTCTGAAGTGGTCATAGGCTGAGCAAATGAAAAAGGATCAGTCACCTTAGTTCTTCCCACTTCCAGACATGCACAGCAGGGCCAGTACAGGTTTGTTGACCCTGTTTGCTACCCAGCCCTCAGATGTAGGGCACAGGACCCAGCCTTGGGAGGGTGCTGGGCTGTGGAAAGTGGCCGGGACAGCCAGTCTGGCAGGTTTTTTTCATCTTTTATGTAGTCCTTGGGGAAAGGATGGAGAATTGCAGACAGCAACTTGTCCACCCTGTCATCAGCAGCAGCCCAGGGAGGTTCCCCACTCCAGCCCATGGTTCCAGCCCAGATCTAGGAGGACATGGGACAGCCCAGTGGTCTGCCGCTTGTAGCTCCCAAGCTGCAAATGAGCATGCCAGGAGCCAGATTGACTCGTGACATGGTCACGTGCCCTTTATGAACTTCCAAAAGCCATGCCTGCTTTGGGGCTACGCAGGCAGTAGCGACCCACTTTGAGTCTCATGCAAGAAGGGGCAAATTGGGTGCCTCTCCTCCTAACCAAGCTCCACTCAAGCCTTAACGAGGCTCCTCACTTCCCCTTGCCAGCAGAACTAAAGCAAGCTCCAGAGAC